GTAAGACAACAAAAGATATGCATTTCCATCGTTTGTCGAAAAAAAAAAAAAAAAAAAAAAAACCTATGTACTCGTGAGACGTATACGTCCCATGTTGCGAGCCTAATCAAAGTGACATTCGATCAGCTGACTTCCATAATGCGAGAGTGCGTATCGACTTTTACGATCGTATACGAAACTCCTTCGACGATATCGGAGAGAAGTCGGCCGATCGTCAAGGACGCGCCGTACGAGAGCCGTAACGTCGTTTCGCGAAACTCACGGTGAAGGATATTCCCTCGACGGAGCCGACCGCGTAGCAGCGATCGCCCGCATTGCAGGCGCCGCTGAGTATCTGATGACAGTTCATAGTACCGCACGCGTCGCACACACACGCGAGACGTTAGATCATCGTCCGGCGGGCACGAGCCGCCGTTTCTCGTCCGCGATTGCGTCGAATCTACGTCCAGATACGCCGTCAACGTCGACGCCCGGGCACCGCGCGGTCCAGCCTAGTCGGACGAAGGTTTCACGGATCCCCCCCCCCGAGGAACGCGTCACGCGCCTGAGATCGACGCGACACGACAGTCGGGCGGCCACGACGACGCGGCCATCTTTAAATGGACATCCACACGAGCGACATCGTCGCGCTGACTGTCCGTCTCGTCTCCCTGCTCTCCCTGGCCCTGGCCCGACTGCCAAAGGCGACTTCCGGACTGCTACGCACGAACGACTGCGCCGACGACGGCCGCGCGCGCGCGTATTGCGAATTCGCGTATATCGATATACGTCCTCGGAGATGCTGACGACTTGAGACGGCTCCCACGTCGTCGCGATGGAAGACAGATGGGAATGATACAGATCGTGAGGTAATCCATAAGTTATTCTCGTGATCGTCAGGAATAGGCAATGCCTAAATAATTATTTTAAAAAAATAACATTTATTGCAGTTTATTATGCCTCGAAAGTATATCGACGATAATCGATTAATTTGTAATTTTTTCTTTTAGTATATTATAGCTATTTAATATTAATTGTAAATGTTAACGAAGGTCGAAAACAATCACTTCGATATCATACTCATTAACGTAACGGATGATTATTAATTTGACAGATAAAATTATCGCTTGGTGCAAAATAATATCTCTAACTTTTTTTCATGATAAACAATTAATTATTTTATTTATGTATATTTATGTATAATTTTTTTCAAATTTGAAAAGAATGAGTTCTTGTACTCATTCTCTCTCTCTTCTTTTCTTCTTCAGACTGCGCGTTTTACATCGCTTTCGAATGCAGGATGAATTTTTCTTTTCCTTCTAATCACAATGATTTCACAGATCTAATTTAATTCCTCCTCTCCAAAGGAGAGATTTTTTTCCACTGTAATCCGAGAAAAAGAAGATGCGAGCACTCGTTCCGATGCGCTTTGATTACGCTTTAGTGGAAAGTCAGTTCGAAAAGACAGTTAAATATAGCACAGAGGCGGTTAATAACAAAGGATCGATATAATCACGGTGAACAATTTTTTCCCCGGAGAAGCTCATCGTTCGATTATAGTAAAGTGTATTTTTTTTTTTTCTTTTGCCGTAACGGCATTGTATGCGTCTACGTGACGACGATATGCACGTTGTTTCGCACATGTTGTTCACCTGCCTCGTTCAAAGCGAGTCTATGTACGACAAAAGCGACTATGTAACGTCTACAAAAGATCAACTTTTTTTTTTCCCCTTAGTGTTAATCTCTCAGCGTGGCTAATTATTTTTGCTATAAAATTTACTGCAACTCGATGTTACTTTAGATTACGTAAGTTTAGAAAAAATTATATTAAGAGAAAAACTATCCTAACTAGTTTCTATATTCACTTCAAGTAGTCGTATTTAGTTACAAACAATATCAAGCTTATTTTAACCGACTTTAATACAATATATCTTTAAACAATTAAATAATGCTAAATTAAACGATTTCCATCACACATATTTTGCATACCACTCTGAATAAGAATACAGGATTACTATCTATATCTGATATCACACATTTACAAAAGTAAACAATTTGTCACCTCAATCATCCATATATCGCTCTAGATCTTACATATTAATTAGTAAAAATATTACAAATATCGTTCAGCGATGATGAGCTCACCATGATCGCAAGAAAAAGAGAGGGATCGAAACAAAAAAACTATGCGAATATAAACATTCTACTGTTTTAATCTCGAGCATCCCTTTGATCTTGTTTTATCACCAACTTATTAATTCAAATAACTCTAAATCTAGTCACTTAAATTCTAGTTATTGAAACTCTAATCATTTAGAACTTTAAATAAATTGAACAAACTTGAATGCAATTATTGTTTTTAACAAATTAAGTAGTACTCGAAAAACTACACAGTTGCAACTTTTTATTTGATATGTACATGTTGCAATTGATGTTTAATATAAATTAATATTTTATGCCCAAGACAGAGAGCATTTTGACAGAACATCCATTGGATATCGAGATTTAATTGGTTTCAATCTCGTTCAAACGTGGACTTAGTACGAATGTTTTAAAAACGTACGTTATTCAATGTACAAACTATGTTTACATTTGGACATTTAAAAAATGTTCATCTCATGCAAACAATTTTCTAAGTTTGTTCGCGACGTGTTGCTTTCGCTGACTTGACAAGTGCAAATTTTGTTAAAATTGTACGAGGAGTTTTACTTTTGTTACCTTCGGTAAACGAAAATTTACCAAATTAAAGCTTAATTCAGAAAGCGTCGAGCAGCAAAGCTTATTGTTGTTTGTAATAATATTAAGAGTTTGAAGTCTTTTGCTTCCAGCGTGCAATCAGAGAGTCCCTAGAAAATCAGAATCTGGCTATATCCTAAAAATTTTTCAACAAATCTATATAAGAATCATTTTATCTGGATTGTGGTCTAAAATTTGTTTAATTTAATATTATAATTTAATCCAGCTTTAGTCCATTGCATCCTAAAATGAATGTTTTTATATATAAAACGTTTTTAAAATATCTATGGATCTAATCCGGATGTTTTTAATATGTCCGAAACGTCCAACATGTACGTTTTTAAATACATTTTTAAAACGTTACTATGCTATCTGAGGATGACGCGATTACTAAATTGCTTATCTTACGAGGAACTGACACTCGGCTACGTACGTGTCATTAATTGCGACCAGTTGACACCAATTATGAGACATACGCTCGCACTGTATTCTTAATGATGTAATCGAGTGGAATGCGTAAAAAGCATTTCTGTACCTCGTACTGTAAGACATTAGATAGGGTTAATATGTTATACGCTATACGATATTTCGGTTAAAATTTTTTTAAACACAAACTCTTTATATATCGTTATTTAAAGGAAATGTACAACTGCGATGGTAGAAAAGCTTTTTTCTTTTAACGAAGTCAGTATACTTGGACTCAATAATTTAAAAACAAATTTGAAAAAAATAAAGGCTGTACTATTTGTATATTTATTAATTACACTGCAGATGACCTCCTAATGTAGGTTGAAACGTTTGTATTTAAAATTATGTTATTAAATTCTAATATTAGCAATATACACATCTCTTGCGTTGACTCATAGCCTTTATTTTTCAAATTTGTTCTTTTTTTCTTTATCTTTATCCTTACTCTTTGTAATTATGTGTATCTAAAAGGAAAGAAGTAAATGTCTTTTTTTAATTACAAAATTAGTGCAACAACCAACATCATAAGAACTTTGATACATGTAACTATAGTACTGTATTATTACAAAATTATATGGAGCACGATAAGTGCAACATTATTATTGAGTAGATGCAGAATCAACAAGTATCTCTCATACCTATTTTTTTATAATACATTGGACAGTATGTAATTATTAAATACAGGCATTTCGCCGAGTTTTCTATAGAATTTTAAAGTAATGTATTAAATATTACACTAAAAGCTTTGCATTACTTTATAGTAGAAACATATTATTGCATAATACTGTAATAGCGTGTTACACGAAGTAAAAGCGAAGAGTCAAATTACTGTTTTAAATTTTTTATTACATATGCATATATGTACTAAATATAATAAATCTGTTTTTATGCGGATGTATTATTTCCTTACAGATTCTATAAAACAAAATAATAGAACGAGATCCGTGGATCATAAACTCTAATCTTCTGCAAAATGTTGCAAAATACACTTTTTCACTAATGTTGCTTTTAATCCTTTATGCAGGGTCTAGCGAATGATAATCAGCGTTTGTATTGTTTGCGCGACAATTTATATTATGAAGTTTTTATCTTATGTTTCAGTCACTTGATAGACGTATCTGTGAAATATAAGGGCAGTAAATGCACGCGTGTATGCATGTATGTGTACGCGCATGTGTACATATTCGCGCCTGATAAGCGAGGTATAGAAGCAAAGATATAAAAACCTAATAGCTGCCTGACGCATGCTCCGTTTCCGAGTATGGCTGTGGGGTAATATCCAGTCGGGTAAGAGAGCTTCGTCTGGTTCGCGTCGATCATTACTTGACGGAGCGCTGAGCCCGTCAAAGAAGCGACGAAAGAGAAGATGAAGGTTTATTTGTTTCTGTCAGTTTTACTTCGCCCCGTTCGACGTCGCGAATACTGAGACACATCATCCCTCTATTCCTACCCCCGTCAAGGGGGCCAAGTCCATGTCCGTAAAGACGAGTCTCCTGGTTCCAGATGAGGATTTCGTCGCAGCAACCGGCTATGTTCGGCTCGGGATAGCCCGGCATCAGATCCAGAGCTCTTTATCGGCAATCAAATAAACCCGGCTGACCTCGACTGTAGACCTCGCCTTGAGCCGGCCTTGAACGATCTGCATCCACGTCATCGGCATCCCCGGGATAATACGCGCGTGTACGTAGAGTGTCGGTACGTGCGTGTGCGGTGAAATAACTCACACCACCTGTAGCACATCCGTCATCCGCCGTCGTATTTACGTCGGTGTTCTCTGTCATACGTACTTATTGTTGCGTTGATTGGAAATTCAGCGATGATACCGTTCGTCTCGGTGGCGGTTTCGAATGCCGATTGGATGTTGGAATCAAAACCGGTGTAACTACGGTGAGTTCTACCAATCTGTGAAATGGATTAAATGTGAATAACGAATTAGACAGATGCATAAAGAATTCACACGCATGCAGATAGAACGTAGTATGCGTTTTTTTTTTTAAAGTAGGCAATTTAAATGCACAACACAATCTATTTTTTTTTAATTTTGTTTAGAATTAAATCTATTGGAATAATTTTACAAAATCGTGACTTGTTTTTATCAGTTTTTGTATCAAATGCTGTAGAATTGTCAAAGTAAAGACTTTATGCTAACGATCGTAATTTATCATTTGCAATTACACCTTGTATTTATTTAATTGTATAAACTCATTCAATAAATGAATAAATAAATAATTTAGAAACACAAATAAAAATGTTAACAATAAAGAGAGTTAAAACGATATAATAATTTAATATCTTATATTTAATAATTTTAAATCTTAATAATCTTAAATAAAATATTATAATGTGGACTTAATATGTATATTAAATTCATTTCTGAACGAAAACAAATCTTATGTCCACATTATAATTTTATTTAAGAGATGATATTAAATTATTATATCGTTTTAACTCTCTTTATTGTTAACATTTTTATTTATATTTTTAAATTATTTATTTATTCATTTATATGCAACCATTGCTATGCGTTTATATATAATATCGAAAACATCAAAATTATATCGGTTTCAACCCCTGTTTTCGTCAATCATTGATCAGTATATGCGCGAATGATTTGAAAACATGAGGGGTCGAACGTAGTAATCTTGTTAGTGAATTAATATCAAGCTGTTGATCACAAAGGAAAAAAAGAGAAAGAGAGAGGAGAGAGAAAGAGATTATATCCATTCTAAAATTATTGATTGCTCATTATCATATTCCATACACATCGGATTTTTATCTTTTATTAAACTATTACATTTTTTGTCCTCTTATACGTTGAATTTTCTATGAGGTAAATATTTGCAATGTGTGTATGTAAATTAAGAAAATTTCGCACTTAATTTGCTTAAGATTCTTTTGTTTGACGAAGAATAATTTTAATTTTGGATTAGGGCACGAAAATTGCCGTTGTCAATGGTATTATGACCAAACAGATGTCTATATCATTTCACTCCACTATCAATATGGAGGAACATGAAAAAAACTTAATGACAGGAACATTAGAACAGAGGAAGGAGGCCTTCAAAGAGGATGAGGAGCTCATGAGAGAAACCACGAAATTTATTAGCGAAGTAATAGAGACGGCTGCTACAGAAGCTTCGAAAAGAAAGATTCAATCGGAGGTAAATAAATTCGCGATTTATATAATTTATTTAACTAAAACATTTCACGACGGTAAACAAGACTTAAAGAGTAATTAATTATTAATGAGGCCGCAGTGTTTATTATATTGTAAAAAATCGAACAATTCAATATTTCTTTTTTTATGTTACAGGGAGCTGAAGGCGAAGGTAAGTGTAAATTGCTCTGATTTTTATATTTCTTACTATTTACAATAAATGTTTGTCTAACTTACGGGATTGAAACATTCTTAATTCACTCGCGTCAGCTATAATAAAGGGGAAAAAAGGTGGATATAAATGGTAAATATTTTATATTCTGGAAAGGTAGAGGAAAAAAGTAGATATTATACGGGAAGAGACAGATAATAGTTCGATAAGTATAATAGACAGCTAGAATGCTAGAAATAATGAAAAAAATTTATAGATGTCGGTGAACACACGTAGGTAATAATTAAATATAAATATAATTTATATTCAATATAGACACATATTTGAATTAACAAATAGAAATATGTTTGTGTAATATCTCTGGGCACAATGTGGAAAAATATGAAAACAAAAAAAATTTGTACAGACACAATTAAGATTATAAATAAGATCTATGTTTATAAACTAGTAGCTTTATTTATTTATAAGTTATTAAATCGTTTAATTTTTTATTAAATACAAGTTATTAACTTTTTTTTTTTGACATTTTTTTTTTTCTTACATACTTTCTCGTGCCATCAATAGTGTAACGGAGATATTTCAGACGAAGTTGGGTGGGACACCCCGTAGAGCTGTAACTTGCAAAATAGAACATGGCACAATTATAATTACCTTTCGAGATTGATATTTATAACACACTTGCTATTCGTGTGTGTGTGTGCAGGTAGTAGATTGAAAGGTGGCGATACCATCGCTGGCTGGAACAATCGAGCGCGTGGATTCTGCAATCGTATTCTGAATGCGCTTTGCCCGTGCTTCACTAACCATGGTAAATCGTAGAGCGATTCATGTAGTGACCGCCGCCACGCTATTACCAGCCTCCTTTACAAACAAGTAGTTTTGCATCGCGCTCTTTCATCGTCATATCGCATCACCATCGATCAGACTGCAGACATCCTTCATCCATATATCACCTGCAGGTAGAAGAAAAACTAGTCAATCACACCGATCGATTCGAAAAGCGATCGTTTTAATTCCTTCGTTAATTAACGAAGAACAATGTTCTTTTGATTTTTACTACAATTTATTTTATTATCTCTCGTATGAAACAATGACTGATTGCCGTCGAATCGTTCGGTACTCATTCAATATAATCATTCAGTAAATCATCCAATATTATGATCCTTCAATTTATACATGTTTATACAATATTCATCATCAGACGTTCTGTTTTATTGTTGCAACACGCATTTACTTTGCAAGATCTTTTTACTATCATGTGCAAATTCACATTAGATGATACTGTATATATTTATATTTTTTCACCTAGACATCGGTATAAGTTAAGTAGCAGATCTATAGCAATCTGGCATGTTTCATCATCGGAGTAGTAAGCGCAACTGGAAACGGCAGCTTGCATCAAAACAGACTGCAGATTGAGGATAGCGAACGGAAATTTAATTATCAATTAAAGGAGTAGTAGGAGGAAAATACTTTACTTTTAAATATAAAGCGAGCTGGGCGTTTTCAGAGTGCATACTGATTTTTGCAATTCCAAGCGAAAACGACGAGATTATAGCGACGTTCTCCGCGCTGGTACCACTTGCATGCTAAAAGCAAATAGTTATAGAAGATGTATGGCAAGTTAACGATGGATACACAATGGATATGTGTTCTTTTTATTTAGAACTGTTCGCCTGGACTCCGTACCGGTATCGCTTCACAAGACCTTAACCGTTCGACGACACCCCGGATTTTTCGTTCCGTCGTGCGAGCTTGTCACGAGCAAACAAATAAACAAAATAGGATTAAGTTCTTTTCATTATCAATTCGTGTCTTGAATCGTGTCTCTCCTACGATTAACGACATTGCGTATTTATGAAAATCGGCGTGGCTTTCTAAATTTCGTTTTCTAAATCTGGCTAAAATAAAACACGAAGGTATATTAATTGCCATTGATTGCGTGTAAACAATGAAGACTACTGTAGTATGGCATAAATCGTCATTATCGATACAAGCCCTGATTATTAATTTTCCTAATGTCTTATGAGAAAAGACGAGAGTCTAATCTGCTGTGGCTGCTGTGCAGCCGAGCGTGAAGGAAGCTATATTAGTGTTCAATGGCAGAGGTAACTATAAGTATATAATTGGAAGTGGCTCATGTACTTTATTTTAAGGCAGACGCTTCGTAGAGTAATTTGATAAAAAAAAGAGTTAATAGCAATGGTTAATAGCAATAGTTAATTCTTTATTTTATTCAAAGTATATGTCATTTTATTATGCCTTCCATTTCTATAAGTTTCTCAAATGAGCACCTTGGCAATAATGCCGCGTGACAGATAGTTCCTCTCGCATTCTTTGCAATATAATAAAACTTACTTTGATCTAACATACAAAAATGCATTTTTTGTATATAATTAATTACAATTTGAAATATTTCGATTTTAACGTTTTTATATATCTTTCTCTAAGCTAACAAAGTGATGACGTGTATATGCTAATTTTATATTATGTACACAAGTTGAAAGATTAAATATTGGAATTTATAAGCAAACGTCAAAATGTAAAAAAATTAGAAAGAAACGATATGACGCATATTATACCGTCGAGATTTACGAGATGAATAAAATTTGACATATCGGATATTTTTAATTGTATAAAGATTATATGATATCCTAACAAAAGATTATATCACGTATATTTTCACTTACCGGTTTAAAATTTGTTAAATATATTTGAAAAGAATATACACACGATTTTCAATTAATTCAGAGATATTTATACCTGGTTACATCCGTTCAAGTTTTAAAGCATTATCAAGCATAGCAATAATGCATGTGACTAGAAAAAATTTAGATTAAACTATACATTTTACGTGTATTTATGTGTCATAGAATGTCAAACAAAAGAATTAGTCAAAATGTACCGTGCTCCGTGTGACGTCGTCAATATTAGTTTTGACTCGAAAATTATCAAAGAGGATTTCGTTGCTTAGATTAGCAACCGTAACGCTATTGCTTGTTAGGCACAGGAGAACCGGATCAATACCGTTGGTATGGAACTATCAACACATATATGTTATTATCAGAAATGTAGATGTGTGTGAGTAGCATTATCATATTTATTTTATTCTTCCCAAATCTGCAAAACCTCGTTAATATTGCGGAAATGGTTACTTGTGCGCGAATTGTGTTGTGCGTAATAAAACAAATTAATCAGCTGCAAAGATAAATTTCAATAATTAATCGATTACTCCAAACGAACGTGTGTTATTCGTACTTACATTGAATGTACCTGTGTCAATCAACATTAGATATAAGCTGTTAGATATAAGTGTACAATTACATCGTTACACAGGGTATTCTCGAAGAAAACACAATAATGCTTGTGATATAATAGCTTTCTTCGGGATAGAGTTTAAAATGTTTCTCTCAATAAATAAATATTCAAACCAACCCATATGTTTATCCTGGTGAAAAATCTGATTTTACAAACAATTGATTCGAAAAAAAATGTTAAGGCAAGCGTCCTCGACATTTGCCCTTTTCTGCAGGAACAGTTTATATATTCTATGCAATATGTATTAAAAAAAGAGAGAGAAAGAACAACGCAAATCGTTTACAGTTTAACCCTGTGTAACGTATCACTACCATACTACGTATAAATGGCGATGACTATATTTTGACGTTGAAACATCGGAAAGGTGCCGGAAAGAAAATCAATATATTCACGCGGTCCTTGTTTTGGCCACGAATCGCCCTTGCGGAGCATGTGCCGCCTACATATTTTCATTGGCAAAAGCTAACAGCAGCGGGTGCTTTTCCCCCTTTAAAGCGTCGCCTTTTCGCTCTTATGCCCATTTCCGCCAATGTAGATTAACTTTAATCTCGGCTTAATTTGCTCTTCGTCTTTTCTCATTTCCACCAATGGAGATTAACTTTAATTTCAGTTCAATTTACTCTTTGTCTTTTTCTAGTTACAAAAATTAGAAAAAGATAAACAGTAAGTTAAACCGAGATTAAAGTTAATCTTTATTGGTGGAAATTAAAGTTTTCCTAGTTTTCAAAATTAGAAAAAGCAAACAGCAAGTTAAACCAAGATTATTAATAAGTTAATCTATATATGCACATTGGTGGAAACGGGCATTGATCGTTCGTCTATATGTGCATCTTTTAATTTCGATCATTCAGTGTGCAAGGAGTATGTTAGGAGGTTACGGGGGTCCAATATGTTTATCTTCTTGCACACATATACATACACATGTGCGTATGAAGGAATACACACACATACTTAGCAAATTGTCCCTGGTAATTTGCTGAACTGAATTCCCATTGGCATATTCCTGGAATAAAGAAAGAATTAATACTTCACGTTGCCTATTTAGATGTATAGAGGGATCAACAGTGTACTATATGTATCAGAGACGAGTGACAATCAAATGTGTGTGAATTGTCGTGATATATGTACATATACATACGTTATATAAATACAGATATATATAAAATTTAATATCGCGATAAACTTTATATTTTGCGTTAAACTTTATATTTTGCGGAATATATATATGAAGGAAATGTATTATATTGCATCGTTATCTTTCACATCTTCGGTGCCGCAAGGTCGTATACAAGCTGGCGGCCATTGATAGATATCAAACTATCAGATTATACTTATATACGTATCATCGACAGATTCACTACATTTATGAAAGTATTATTCTGAAAACTATGTCACATATATGAATACACAATAAATATTTATGTTAAAAGGAACAGACATCTATCATTTTTTTACACCCTTCAGCCCTGATTTCTTCATTGAATGTATATTTCTCTCAGAATAGATTTTTTTTTTTTAAATTAGATTTCGCTCGTTTTTTTTATTTTTGCACAAATGCTATTAGATGTATAAATAAGTTTCCGCCGTTTTCTTTTTTATCAAAAATTGGGCATTTATTGTGAAAGAACGGTACCTAATGTTTTATTCGAAGTATATTGTCCATCGCTGGCTACTACTTTTTCCCATCTTTCTGGCAATTGGTGAATTCCACGTCGAAACTACGTTCTTTGTCTTCGACATCGTCAAATTCACCGTTCTTAAATTTTTGAAACCACTCACGGCATTTTTTCTCACTTAAGGCAGTCTCACCACGTTTCTGCAAGCAATCGATGCGCCTCAGCTGCAGATTTCTTCAAATTGAAAGAAGCTCCCGCGAATGACGCTTATTCGGCTCAAAACTCGACATTTTCACACGAGAAAAGATATTTGATGCTGATACAAAATCGCTGATATTTCAAGGTTATGTTGTTGCCAGATGTCCAACCAATGACGTTTTACTGGTGGCGCCATCTTTTGTCAAATGGCGGGAACTTATTTATACTCCTAATAGTTTCCAATTATTTTTTACGTTATCAGTGCGTATTGCATTATTATACGTTAACAATTCTTACATCATTATAATAATTTAATACAGACGTCGGATTTATATTCAGGTCACATTTTTATGACATTAGAGCGTATTTATCATTATATAGATATTAATAATAATATAGTTTACGTTACGTGTATACTATAGAATTTCTGAATTTGTATTAAAATGTATTTTCGTCGATAAAAGCGCGTTCTAAATGCAGACAAATATGTATGTACACACGATGACGTAACACATTCCCATGTGTTGTGACTGCTATGGTAACGTAACCCTTATATCAGTCAAGACTAAATAAGTTGCAACAGTAAAGGAAGAGGTTCAGAAAGTTTAACTTATTTTATCATTTTCTGTTCAAATTACACTTAATGTTCTTAAACTTATATTAGTGTAATAATTCTGATAAAAAGAAAGTAAAGGTTTGAGGGTTACACAACGGAGAAATCGACAGAGGAATTGACGTTTATAAATCAGAACCGTTCACAGGATTAACAAAGCAAAGTGAGGAATCATTCGTTAGGGAATCTCGTAAAAAAATATCGCGACTGGATGAAATCTATTTCCGACACGTATTGCCCAAATACCAAATCTTTCAAAAGTTACCGTATGCATCGGAAGACATATAATCGTTTAAAAAAATATATTAAAGATGAACCGGACATTTTCAATTTGCCACAAAAATGTGAAGCTTCGTCGAGGTAAGCTACTAGCAGTTCATAAAAATATGGCTTAATTGCTTCAAAATATATATCTTACATTACAGACACGCTGTAATGTTTGATTACGTATTTCTATTTTCCATATAAAGTATATATTAAATTTTGTAAAAAAAAATATATAAAATTTGAAGCAGTACCACAGCGCCGAAGACAAGGCAAAAAAGAATTGCTTCCAAGGATGATTATTACATGGCACTATGTCGGAAAAGAGCCGAATTTCGGATGCATCTGATCAAGAAGATCAAAGGACCGATGAGACGCGACGAAAGTTGGCGCGAAGGCAAGATGGAAATTTACAGCGACTATGCGAAAGAGCAAACAGTTTTAAACGACGTCGACGATATTACTGACATTTGGCTCACGGAGGAAGACAAGAATCTCTTGAGGTATTACTACTACATTCTCCATGAGGTTGACGACACTCACGCAGGTACCTTAGATTCTGACACGTTAAAGAAGATAACGAGCATGGTGCCCCCCGAATGGCAGAAGAGATACGACGAATGCTTCAATCGATTGATTAGTGAATTAAAACTTGATTATGTTACGAGCATGAAAAAATCCATCGTTGACTTTGTGCTGCAGGAGCCTTTCGAGGAAGCACTCTTTACTATGGTAAGTATGATCGCATAAAGAAGCACAGCCGATCTTTTAGCGCCAGAGCCTACCGTGTCTTCAGATGCCCGAAATGATATGTAACATATACAGGGTGTCCCAAAAAGGTCGGGACACCTAAATATCTCTCTCGGGAAATATAAGTTTTACAAAAAAATGTTTCGAATAGAAGTTATATGGTTTAAAAATATCTATTTACTGATCCTATCAGTTTGATCTTGGGTTGCATAGCCAAGGTCAGGTCAAGGTTATTATATTGATTTTCTTAAATGGAACACCCTATTTTTCATTCAAGAATCTAATTGCTGATGTCGAGAGCTTTCCAAAACGCTATAATAAAATATTTTTTCATGAAGTACTTTTCAAGTTATAATGCTTCAAAGTTACAGTATCGCCGGCACAAGCATTACCCAAGATATGTATAATACTTCGCAGAGGTTGCCCAGGCAAATCGACATGTCTTTTGTGCTCGGAGAA